CGCCTCGCTGCTCGGTCTAGAGCGGGAGTCCGAGTGGGGTGCGAGGGGGTCCCGGGCTGGGGTGGGGTCCCGAGCTCTGCACGCCCATCCCACACACTGCCGATCCTCTGGCGCCCCCCGGTGGCCGCCCTCTCCCGCGCTTAAATCCGGGCTCGGAAAGAGGCTGGACGGATGTTGGGCCCGGCTGCTCACCGACGCAGGCCTTGCCCTCTCCCGCCCTCTCTGCGGAACCTCGGCTCCAGAACCCCTGTAACACAAGCCCCGTCGCTCTGGCCAGGCTGGCGGGCTCAGCAGAAGCCCCAGGGCAACCTTCCCCCACCCATTCCCACCCCACTCTAAGACCCTGAACCGGAGATGCTCCTCCACCGGAGTGTCCCGGAGGCAGTCCGGGCGACAATGGGAACGGCAACAATGATCCTAAGATCCGCAGAGGGGCATGTTTCTCTCCTTGTTTATTCAGAGAGCCTGGCACAGTCGGGGCCTCCCTGCCCTTTCCCCCGAGACAGTAGCTCACATGCCAGTCCTTTCCAAAGAGACTGCTCCTGCAATCACCAGCTTCCTCGGTGTATGCATAAGATACAGCCTTGCTTATCTGTTGAATGGGAGCGGCAGCAGGGGTTGGGGCAGGATACGTTAGTCCTTACCCTTGGTCCAACCAGTTGTATGACATCCCCTCCCGCCCACGTGTCTCCTCATGTCTGGAAGCTCTTTCTGCTGCTTCATTTGATCCATGCAGAGAGTTATGAGACTCTTATTGCCTTCAGCTACCATCTCCCCTCTCTGGGGTCTCCTGCCCCCCCACCCCAGGTAGAGCCAGGCGCAGGCTACCTCCTACACGACAGTCTGTGATCTCTCCCTTTGTCTCCCTGGCAAGCCCTGCTCCCCGACACCAGGGATTGAAGATTGAGTCCAGAGCTTTCACACTGAGCTACATCTCCAGACCCTTTTGTTTATTTTTATTTCAGAAACAGGGTCTTGCTGAGTCTCTAAAATGTCCAGACTACCCTGGAGCTTGTGATCATTTTGCCTCTGGGGAAAAATCTATTGGATTTAGGTTAATCATCTAATGGATTTTAGATTGCTAGAAACCAATAGGAATCTTTTGATTGCTGTCCTGTTCTGTCCTCCCTCTGAGACAGTTACCTGCTTAAAAAGAAAGAAGAATATCGGGAGGAAGAAAAGATATAGGTTAAGCCAGGCGTAGCCCTGCGTTGGAACCTTAGGACCACAATAACAAAAATCATTTTTCTGACACACGGAGCAGCATAATGCTGGGTACACAATCTCTCTGCTCTCCTGGGAGATTGTCTTCTTGGCAGTGATTGGGAGTCTACACTCTTTCTATTTTGCAGCTCCACTAGGGATCTCCAAGGTCACTGTGGAAAGAAGGGGAAGGAGAGAGAGAGAGAGAGAGAGAGAGAGAGAGAGAGAGAGAGAGGCAGGCTATAGAAGAGCCCCATCCCCCCCCTTAAATGAATCGCTGCCTCCACTTACTGACCTCCTGTGGGAACTGGGCACGAGGCTACTTACATTGCAAGGGACTAGAAATGACGTTTCCAGGAAGGGGAAATTACTTTGATGAACATCAAACCAGTTTGTGCTGTATTCTTGTTGAGAATTATAAGGATGCTTGGGAATAAACTGACAACAGATCTTAATAACGAACCCAATGGCAGACAAAGGAAGAAAAAAGGAAATAGGACAATTATAATTTCACATATAAAAATCTTGAGGGAAACATTATTCAATTTAATTTTGTGCACACAACCTCTTGGGCCCTCTTGGGAAATTCTCTTCCATGTGGTGACCAGGGATGTAAGTCCCTTCCATCTTATTGTGCTGTAACAATCGAGGGCCTTTAAGTTAACCAAATGATTTTTTAAAAATAATGCACCAGGACAAAATGGTTTAATATTTGGAAATCTATTAATAAAATTTGTTCTATCAATATGTCCCAAGAGAAGAGAGTTGCAATTATTGTGATAGATGTCAACCTAGCATTGAAAAATTTAACGTCTGTCCTTTAGCCGTATTTAAAAAATACTACTAGCATACAAAACCGCTTTATCAACATGGTACAAAAATTGAAAACCCAACAGATAACATGAACATTTTCATTGAAGACAATCTTGTTACAGACACAACAGGCTTTCTGCCGTCAGTCACTTCAATCATTTAACATTGTTTTGGATGTTCTAGCTCTTGCAAAGGGAAGAAAATTGAGTTTTCTTTTTTTAACATTACAGCAGATGCTGTGATCATGTACTGTGAAAATCTAGGAGAATGATTAATTAAAATGGTTTGAATTTTATGTGGTACTATGCAATTTACTAGAAGAATAAAGTTGACTTATATGCATGGACAGGGAGACACATTAATGACAAATTCTGTGACAAAACCTGAATGTGGAGCGGTATGCGTAACGTGACGGAGTGTGGGGGGCTGAGGGTAGGTAGAGGAGAGCGGTGGGAGAGTCCCCCACAGACAGGAAGGCAAGGTGGTGGAGAGGGTTGTTTTCAATGCGTCTTCCTTTTGCTACCTTTGTACTGTTGTTTGCTTGTATTGTTCTTTTTTTTTTTTCAGTGACTATGTAGTTAGTTATGTAATTTTGAAAAAAACTATAAAAGAAAGAGATATACATTTGTATGGGCATCAACAAAAGAATATTAGAAATGTAATGGGAGCTATGTGGGACTCTACAAAGCAAACACAGGGCTGGAGGGTGTAGCTCATGCTTAACAGACACAAGGTCCTGGGTTTGATTCTCTGCAAACAAACAAGCAAAAAAAAAAAAAAAAAATTTTTTTTTAAATGAGGAATGGAAAAGAAGAATAGATTTATAACACTTCGACTCAATAGTTGAAAGATGTAAATATCATCCAGATGAATTTAGGAAATTAATTGATTATGATCAAAATCCCAGAGAGATTGCTTTTCCCTCCAGAAGCTGACAAAATAATGTTATGTGTTCATCTGGAGAGTCAAAGAAAGAAAATATTAAAAAGAGAAGAGGAGGAGAAAGAAGACGAAGGAAAGGAGGAGGACAGAGTGCAAGAGGAGAAGGAGGGAGAGCAGGAAGGACAGGAAATGGCCATTGCTAGATCCTAGAAAGGTTTCTAAAGATGAAAGTATAAAGACACTGTTGGCTGGAGCACTGCAGGCAGAAAAAACTCAAGTGCCCTAAATGTCTGGACAAGTCGCTTGGCCTCTCAAATGCCTAAATTCAGTGTTAAGATCCATCTCTGGCCAAAGACGATGTCTGAAGCCTGCGAATAATTTTTGGCTCTAAAACACAAGAATCCTAGGCACAAAATGGAGAATAGCTATTTAATGAAATGCACGCAAATGTAACATGCCGGCTTCATGAGGAGTTAACTTTAGCATTCCTACAGTGTTTCACACATTTGAGAGTAATCTGTGGATTTGATTTCCTCACTTTTCAAGAATTTCCAATTACGCACAGATTTTTTTTGGGGGGGGAGTGAATTGTGAATTAATTACTCATACATATAATTTCAAGAGCAAAGTTATAAGAATCTTTTTGCTTCTTTTTACTCCATATTATTCTTAGTATCAATAGGAGCACATTTTGATCTTTGTTAATGGAAGTGTGTAGGGCTTAGTTCTGTTCCCTTCAGGGGTGGAGTTCCTTGGCCCAGGTTTTCGCTCGTAGGATTGTGCAAAGCCAGTGGCTTCTCCAAAGCCAACCATCTTTTTATATTATTAAGTTTTTAAATTAAAATTTTTTCTTCTTTAACTTTGTAGATGCCACCTTACCCAAATGATCACCAGCAACAGGATGTGTGAGGCTTATGCTCTGCACCATCCCTTCCAGAGGGGAATTCTATTTCGTTTGGGTCATTTGCTGAGGAGAAAAAGCCCCATTCAGGTTCAAGGGCCACTTACAAGGAAGGGATGCCAGTGTTCATCTTGATTTTGGACACTAGCTCAAGCCACAGCCTGCTCTGTTAAGTGTCTCCCTGTGCTGTTCTGATTTCCCAATGCTGGTGCTTCTGAGAAGACGACTCCCTGTGGTTCATACTAACAGCTCTGCTAGGCAGCAGCTGAAATAATCACTTTCCTCATAACCTCCGATGTTCCAGGAGTGTGGCCTTCCTCTTAATTCAGGAAGATGACTGACACTTTCTGTCCATCTATAGAAGCTACAGTTGGTGTCCTGGTCACTGAGGAGAGACCTAAGTGAGTAAGAGGAAGCTTCTCATGCTCTGACCCCATTGTTCCACTCACCGTATTCTTCTTGCTTGGCCCCTCAGCAAGGACAGTTTATTTACTCTGATAGTCATACTTCTCAGCCCTTAAACATCAAATCTGAATTTAAAAAATTATTTTGCAGTCATGGGTGTTGAATCCAGGGCCTTGCACATATACCAGACAAGGACTCTATCCCCGAGCTACATCCCAGCCCTAAATCTGATTTTTTAAAAAAGAAAATATTGTCTCTGAATACATACATATGTAGTAGAAGTGTAAAGAACGACTAGAAATGCTAAATAACCAATTCAGGATACTGGTTACTAACTCTTGGTGGTGGTGAAGGAAGGGGCATAGGATTATGGGAGATTATAGTATATTTTAGATTGGGCATTGGGGACACAGTGCTCTTTACATTATTCTGTGCATCTTTTGGTGTTTCTGAAATATTTAACAATCAATTGAAGATACTTCATCTGCTTCTATATTGGTTAATCTTTCTGGTCATTCTCAAGACTTGTTGATATTCCTCCAAACCTCCTCTTAGTTACTGCTTTTTCCCTTTCTCTTTCGAACTTTTGCCAACATCCCACCCCACTTTTGCACATTCCCTGAGTCTTGATTGACA